CCTTTAACAGCTGCTATAGCATTGGGTTGTTGGTAGTTCACAAGGATGAAAAGCAATCACAGAGAAGGGTTTGCTCCAAAGACCCAGGCAATATCAAATTGATTGACAGTAGTATGGGAATGGGATTTTAAGGTACACTTCCCCTGAAAATAGCAACTGGATGAAGACACACCCAGGGGGCATATAACTTGTCCCACTTCTAAGATCAAAAGGGCCAGCAACTTCCACAGGACACCTACCCCATTCTGCCGGCAGAGGAGGACCAGGAGTTTCCAGAGAAGAGCTGAATCTCTGCCTCTCTGTGTTGAGAGATCACAGCTTGTGGCTATCTTCTGCTGGCAAAATGTCATCACGTCCACCTTGTGTAGATCTTCCCTACAGCAGCGAAGAAAGGCATCAAAAGAAACCCAAGGCAAAGCAATCTAGGACATCATTCAAACTCAAAGGATCCCCAGGTTCACTGATGGGGATGCCAAAGATTCAAAGGGAGAGATGGAGGAGAGAAGATCCCCAGTGCTAATGACCGTATACCACATTGGCCACATGAGGCTCAAAAATGCTAAAAATGTTATCATTATTATGACTTTTTGCAGATTTTTGTGTTTCAGGGATGCAGAGTGCATCTCAAACCCCCTCTCTGCCCTCCTGATAATATTTTCATCCATCCATCCGCCAAGAACCTCAGTTTTGCTTTGCTGTGCTGTTGTTACAGCCATGGATATCCAAAACTGCAGGAGCAGGCACACATACAGGCAGTATCTTTTCTTTAACTGGCATAGCAAGGAGAGAAAGACACGCTTGTGACCACATAAACCCTTTGGGTCCGAAACAGAAGTAGAAACCTTTAAGCTATCCACAAGCCAAGCAGAACTGCTGTCTTACAATACAATAATCAGACATTTGGAAAGAAAAGGTGCCTGAGACACAAGATCAGCTGGGGGACAGGGACTGGGGATGGAGATGCTGATCCTGACTCAATCACACCCACATATCATATGGAAATTCCCAATGTCCCATTCAGCACAAGTGGTAACCTCCAGGTCTTCCACCCAGCTTCTGGGGATACACAGCTCTCCTGCTCAGCAAATGGCTTTCCTCCTCCTGCACACTCCTTTTCTCTCCCCACTTGGGTTGTGAGCCACCAGAAGACACACTGGTATAACCAGTATGATACAGAGACAACCTGATGCAATATCCCATGATTCATCCCCAGGCTCACACTGGATGAAAGCACATACTGGGGCTGATTCCACCGTGCTCGACAGTCTCAAGGGACAAAAACATCAGAAAAAGCTAAGCCACAGGTTGACCCAGGGCTTTAGACATCCAAAGGGATCTCCCAAAAATCAGTTTTCTGTGACACTAGTACAAAATAAGGTCAGACATACAAGCCACACTAAACCCACACCCTATGAATATTCAAAAAGACCATCTCCCACAGTCCAAACCAACCTACACCACAGCAAAGGGGCTCGGTTCCCAGTCTGAACCCAGACTTGGCCTTTGCAGATATCTCAAAACCATGGGGACCCTAAAGTTTGCCTTGAGCTCATGTCTCCTCCCAAAGGAGAGGTACTCCCAGGACAGCCATGCACCAGAACAGCCAGGATGAGACAGGTCCTGGACCTGCCAGTGTGACATACCTGGCCAGGGGCCCTGGGAAGGCCTGTAGTTCCTCCAGCTCTTTTGTGTCATGAAGAATTACCTAAAAAACAAGAGAAAATTTGGCAGCTAGACTCCAGCAATCAGGCCAGCCCCAGCTGGGCTAACTGAAAGTCAGTGCCTTGGCTGAGGGTTCAACAGTGCTGGTGAACACACTCTCTGTTCTGTCTTAAAGAAACTCGAGAGCATAGACCCTAAACCATCACATGGACCCCAATGTTAAGGTCCAGGAAATAAACACCTGTTGAGATGGCACTAGCTGCCTCTGGGAGGCAAAACAGGAGATTGAAAGTTGTGGTAGGCTCAGGAGATGTATACAGCCTCTATATTGGAGCACCTCAGAAAGGTGAGCAGATTTATCCTTCAGAAAGGCATGGATCATGTCTGTCCCTATCAGAAGGGATCACTGTGAACAGGTCACAGACGACAAGGGTTATGGAGCTGAAGGAGTTGCATAGATGCCACTTCTCACATCTGGCATCGGGGCATAGACTGGCACGATGCAGACTCAAGAGTCCATGTGGGCTGGAGATAAGATGGTAGCGAGGGATGGGAAGGCTGCTAAGGAGGCTGTTTGAGTGACAAATGGTGTTTGCATCCCTCAGGGCAAAAGGAGCCACTCCAGCAAGGGGACCGAGAGCGATCTGGGGTGTGGGGCTGTGGCATACCTCTAGGCTGTGTAGCTGGACATGGGCTAGCTGTCCCTTGGCAGGGTGGTGGGGACACACCAGCACCAGCTGGCCTCCGGCTCCAAAGCACACAGCCACGTGCGGCAGTGAGAACTTGAGGGGCACCACCGGGGCTGGGGTGGATACCGAGGGACCTCCTGCAACAACACACAAGCCAGCATGAGTCCCCTCACCCTGACCCCCAACACCACATGCACTATGGAGGACGTAACCAGGTCCCAACCTGCCCCCCTGCAACTCAAGTAGCCCTCCATTGACCTCCCCAACATGCAAGAACCGTCTCCTAAAGCAGAAGGCATGCATGGCAGCTCCTGCTCCTAGTAGGGCAGAGCCACCAGACCATGCACCCATCCCACAGCACCCTGGTCATGCCTGACACCTACACAGCATCCTCCAGGACAGCACCAAGCTGCAAGACAGCAAATCTCCTAGTGCCAGCCATTTGATTCCCTGCTCCCCACTTGTCGGATGGGGGCCAGGGCTCCATCAGACCTCACCTGCTTGTGCCAAGCTCCAGGTCCCTGAAAGCATGGGGTCGTAGTGGTCGGCACTGTCATGGATGTACTGGCTGAGCTCGTGGCTGCTGGAGCTGAGTCCCGACTCACGGTACTGCAGGAGCAGGTTGGGCTGGCCCGAGGGCTGCAAGAAAGAGAGAAAACAAAAATATGGCTGAGAAACTGGGGATATCGCTGCTTTTCTGCTTCCAGGGCAGTGGGACAGGCTCTGCTGCTCCATAAAACCCCCCAGCAGGAACAGCACAGCTGATTCCCTTCTGAACAACATCTCTCAGCACCTCTCTTCAGCATCTGAGCACAGCACAGCTGATTCCTGTCTAAGCAACATCTCTCAGCACCTCTCTTCAGCATCTTAGGTTCATCATGGCACGTGCCCTGGTCATACCCAATGACCAAAATAATTTACACCAGCCACTGGTCTAGCCCAACAGCTTTCCTAGCCCTAGCACGGACTCCCCAAAAGAGTCACAGTGCTTGGAAATCCAAAAAAAAAGCTCTGCCCAGGAGCAAAACCACCAGAGCAGCTTTCATTTGATCTTTTAATTTGCTCTTTGCAAAACACAGTGATCAGGACACGAGTGTGATGGAGCAGACCTTGGTGGACAGAGCTGAAAACAACACACAGATTTCAGCTACCTAGGGAGGATGCAGGAGGGCCATCCCACCAGCCCTGGATTTCTGTCTTGTTCTTGGTCCCATTTGGGAGCAGTGTACAGCCCCACGCCTGGGGGAACAACAGCCCAGCAGATAGACTTCCATAAATACTAATAACCCACTATAATAATCCCCAGAGACTGTTAAGTAGTGAGTACAACATAACAAAACAGCCCTTTTCTCCTCAGCTTCCTTCCCAGCTGGAGGAGGGACACACGGATTGCTCTCAGAACCTCTAGGAGACCCCCAAGACTTTTGTCCTCCACCCCAACCCATCTCAACATTACCTCTCGGGACTGGCCACCAGCCTCCCCTGAATCACCTCCAAGGGTTTCTCCCCCTGCCCACTCAGGACGGGCAGCTGAGACATATCTCTCCTTGGAGGAGTCATAGGTCTGTGTCCTGCAGAAGGGAGCAAAAGAAAATGCCCTGAAGGTCACAGATTTTTGGGAGCAGCCACAAACTCACAAATTTTGCAGTAGATTGTTGCACCATCTACTGGTGACCTCCCACCCTTACCTGTCCTGCCCCAGGGGGGGTGTGGCGAGGTTGGGGTGGTAACCCCTGTAGTAATGTTGGTCCTGGTATTTGGAAGTCTTGCCATAAGGCTCTCCCCGTCTTAGGTCTAGAGAGACAATCAAGATTTAGTGTTGCCCCTCCAGAGCAACAAGCCATAATGAAATTGCAAAAGAAAAGCAATGAGTCAGACAATTTGCCATGCACACCCCATTTGCTTCCAAATTAACCCAGCAAGTTGGAAGTATAACAAAGCCCTGTACATGTTTGCCAACACAGCACTGATGTCCTTCCCCTCCTCCCCTTTTCTTCAGCCCAGGAATTCCAGAAAGACCAAAACCAAGGCCCTGACCACCCTGATCACACAGCACCATTGGCATCATTGAGTTCAGCCTGGAACCAGGTTCTTAGCCATGCAGATCAAGATTAAATGTTCTCTTGGGCCTACCCAGTTCCTGCTTGCATCTCCCAAATTCAAGCTCAGGGCAGTGCTGCAGGGGCACAACAGCACTGATGGCCCAGGAGCATGGGCAGGAGTAAACCCTAGGACAACAGCCTGCCCTAGAGGAAGTATTGCCTCTTCTGCAAGCAGTAAGTTGCCTCCATCCCCAGACTCCAAGGAGAAGCGCATACCACTGTCACCCTGCCAGGTCACTGGCCGCCACTGGTGGCTTTGGTAGGCATAGTCATCCCCGTAGTTGGCTGCTGGATACTGCCAGTGGGAATCTTCATATCCTTGCCTGAAACACAACACATTCTTAATCTGCAAAAGAAAGGGCACCGCTGCAGGTTCTGGACTACATCCAGGGTTAGGTTCATGCCTGGACAGGATCTTTGGAGGCAGAAAGGGTGGTGGAGACAAAGCCAGGTCCCCTGCCCAGGTTCCTTGCTCAGAGGCAGGAGCAGGAACTGGTCCAGCATCACACCTGGAAGGAGCAGCAGGAGGTTTGGATCCTTTCCTATCCCCATCTATGGGAAAGCTGTCCTCTGCAGTTTCAAGAGATGCACAATTTCAGCTCAAAGGTGTGGACTTGTCAAGGAGATTAACTTTCACCCGTGTTTTAGGAGAGGTCCCCCCCACAAAGGCACCTTCTCCACCAAGTTCTGGAGCTGCCATGTTCACCACACAGCTCAATGCAGATCTCCCCTTGCCCCAGAGCCCACCCCAAGCTGCCTGCCCTGCACAGCTTAACCCTTTATAATTTGCACAGTGATTTGGTCAGCCCCGTGCAACGACCCCCTTCTCCGTGTGAGCATCACACAGCCTCAGCACAAAACCCTGCCTATCCACACCGTAACTCGCCAAGGGCAATAACTCAGGCAAATCAACCCAAATTTGCTGGAGCACTCGAAGCTCTCTCAGCACTGAGAGCATCCTCTAGCTCACATTTTATCCTTCCACCCTCCGCTGTTTCAGCAGCTGAGCTTGCAAGCTCCCTTTTGCTCCTATATTGCCATTTATATTTTTATTGTTCACCTTGCACTTAGTAAAAAAAGAACTGCGTTTAATCAAACCTTCAAGAAAAATGCACCTCGGGACCGAGATGAAGCCTGTAAAATGGCAACTGCAGAAGTCACAGCAATAGGAAGAAATCGGAGCTGCAACTGTTATGCAGCCTTAAATATAGAAGTCACCAGCTGTTTTAATAGCTGGGCATCTCCTGATCATTCACTGGCTCCTTGAGGCTGCTCGCTCCTTCCCCTATGCAGTTACAAGGGGAGGACCCACGTGGCAAGCCCACGAGAGCAGTCAAATGGTCAAACCTGATTTTAAGAAGGTTTAGAAGGAAGGGGCTCAGCATGAGCGTTGCAACGTTGGGTGGCTCTCACCTGGAGTATGGTCTGTTTTGGTGGCTGCTTCCATAGTACTCAGCCCGGGAAGCTGGTCTGTGGGCATCCCTCCGGGGGTGGTGGCCCTCATCCCAGGGATGGCTGGGGAGGTGGCTCCCATCCCAGGAGCCAGGCCGAGGAGGGGGCTCCGCACGGAGGAGCTGCCTCCTGGGCTGAGGTGGGGGACCATGGGGCACGTCTCCCCGTGTCCCCTGGGCTGCCTGCCTCTCCCATGGCTGGGGTGGCCCGGCAGGGGCCCAGGGGTCCATCACAAGCTTGCCAGCGAGATCCTCTCCAGTTTTGGGGTGGGAGGGGAGGTTCGGTCCCAAATGGTTTTAGTGACCTGCAAGCAAAGAGATAAGTCACAGCGCATTTGATCAGCGGCTTTTCACCCCCCAACCAAAGGCCCTGTGAATCATAGAATCGTCTAGGTTGGAAGGGACCTTAAAGATCATCTAGTCCAACCATCAACCTAACTCTGACAAAAAAATAAGAAATAAGCAATAAAAAAAAAAATCACTAAACCATATTCCTAAGAACCATGTCAACCCGTCTTTTGAACACCTCCAGGGATGGTGCCTCAACCACTTCCCTGGGCTCCCTATTCCAATGCTGGATAACCCTTTCCGTGAAGAAATGTTTCCTAATATCCAATCTAAACCTCCCCTTGTTTAGAAGCTTGTTGCCACCTACTTTCCGCTTTTGGGAGCCTGCTGGAAACCCGGCATCCTTTCCAAAATGCCCAGAGTCAAGGAAAAGCCATCTCCACATCTGCCTAAACTTGAAGCTCCCCTTAAAACACACCCCCCCAGCCAGCCCTGCAAAGCCCCGCTGCTCACAGCCTCCCCAAGCCGGTGAGAGACCAGTTTTACCTCTGTGATGAGGCAGTGAAGCACCATTTTACACACAGGAGGGGAAGGGATATTGGCAAAGCTACGAGCAGGATGAGGAGAGTTATCCTCAAAGAAATGAGTAGGGGCCGAGGCAGGGATAAACCGAGCTTTGCTCATGCGAGCTCTGAGATGGGGTGGAAACGGGGATTTCCTCCTGCCTCTCAGCTCCAGCAAGAATAGAGCAGCTCGAGCAGACACCAGATTTACTTCTAAGGGTCCCACACAGAAGAGGACACCCTAAGGAGACACCAGGGCAACACCAGTGGGTGAAACCCCAGCTGCTGGGGAGGGGGGAGGAGGGGGATGCGACCCTCAAGCCCTCCATGTCTCCTCCTGCAGCATCGGTACCCAAACTGACCCCTACAAACCACCCGGGTGGGGGCAGATGGCCAGATGTTGTCCGAACCCCACGCCACCCCTCTCACACTCAAAGTTTAAGGCATTTTGAGGGTCATCTCAGGGCTGGGGGAGGGGACACGCTCATGCCTGAACAGAGGCGGCTCCGTTTGTGCCCCCGAAATCAGGGTCAAATCCTTGCCCCCTGGGCACAAGCATCCAGACACCCATCATTCTGGACCCACCAATGCCCTCCCCCTAATTTTGGACGCCGTCCTCCCCCCGCGGCAGCCGCACACACCTGCTCGGAGGCTGCTGGGGCCCTCCTTCCGCTCCCCGGGCGCCGCTGACAAAGTCCACTGCCACATGGGCCGCCGGCCGTTGCGGGGGGCAAAGGGCAGCCTCAGCTCCTCCACCCCCCACCAGCTCCCTCAGCCACTCACTTGGCTCCCGGGGTGGCCGGTTTCATGGAACCACAGAATTGTTGGAGTTGGAAGGGACCTTCTAAAGACCATCTAGTCCAACTGCCCTGCCAAAGCAGGGTTGCTTGGAGCACATCACTCAGGACGGCATCCAGGTGGGTCTTGAAGATCTCCAGAGAAGGGGACTCCACAACCTCCCTGGGCAGCCTGTTCCAGGGCTCTGCCACCCTCACTGCAAAGAAGTTCTTCCTCATATTTGAATGGAACTTCCCATGTTCCAGCTTGTGCCCGTTGCCCCTTGTCCTGTCACTGGAAACCACTGAAAAGAGTCTGGCTCCATCCTCCTTCATCCCACCCTTTAGTTACTTGTAAACATAGATGAGGTCTCCCCTCAGCTTTCTCTTCTCCAGGCTGAAAAGCCCCAGCTCTTTGAGCCTTTCTTCGTAAGGGAGGTGCTCCAATCCCTTAATCATCTCAGCTGCCCTACACTGTACTCTCTCCAGTAGTTCCCTGTCTCTCTTGAACTGGGGAGCCCAAAACTGGATGCAGTATTCCAGTTGTGGCCTCCCCAGTGCAGAGCAGAGGGGGAGAATGACCTCCCTTGACCTACTGGCCACACTCTTCCCTATGCAGCCCAGGATTCCACTGGCCCTCTTGGTAACACAGGCACATTGCTGGCTCATGGAAAGTGTGCTATCCACTAGGACTTCCAGATCCTTCTCCTCAGTAGTTCACACTGCTGTTTGCATCCCTGAGGGTCACCTTCCCCATCCTTTGTGCCTCCTCTCCCCCAAGAGATGGAGCACTCAGCCCCCGCCCCTTGAGCTAAAAACAAAACCAAAAAAAAGCCAGGTATTTCTCCTGTGGGTTTTGTTGCCTTTTTTTAATGCCCTGAGATAATTATCCTCCTTTATACACCATCACACTTCCTAAAAAATAATAAGTAAAACCTGCTGGCTGAATTGTTGGATTCATCCAGACCCAGGCGCAGTTTGAGCAAATAACATCCGTCCCACCTGGCCACTGCCCAGAGGAAAATTTGGGCAGGAGGGAGGCAGGGTCCACCCCAGCATTGCCCCATCTAAGTCCTTATGGTGCTGTAACAGCCTCACGTTACAAGTGACCGAGGATTCCTGCACGGAGGCGCTCTCTCCCAAATTCCCCTGAGCACCTTTAAAAAGGAAAAAGGAGTAAATTAAGGCAAATGGCATCATAGAAAACTGCAGTAAAAGCTCGCTGTAAGAGCCAGTGTCTTCCACCCAGCAGCCTAGCAACATGCCATCTTCTCTCCTTTTGCCAGGGGAAGCCCACAAAGCCTCCATTTGCCGAGTGTGAGCAGCCAAATTTCAGCCCCAGGGCAGCACAGAGGAATGCAGGACAAATAGCAGAAAAACAGCTTTTTTTCCTTCTTTTTTCCCTTTTTTGTCACACCTTTGCAGTCCTGCCTTTCCCTGAGAAATTTCCTCCAAATTACCTCCGCCGTGGTACCACGACACGGATTGATCAGGAATTGGCAGGCAGGATCTTACTCGTTTGCGTTGCGGTGGCACCGTCAGGCAAAACCCTGTTTTAATGATGTTGGAAGACTACATATATTATAGCTGCAGAGCTTGAAATTTCCACCCTACTGGGAGAACAGGAAACATTCCCTGGTGATCCTAAGCAATAAGCACTCGGTCTCTGCAGAATTGAAGGTTTCAAATAAAATAAAAAAAATATATATATATCCTTAGCACTCCGCTGTACCGAGAGCCGACTGGAAGAAATGCAAACCAGGGAAGCGCTGCCTTTGTGCTGCCACGCTGCTTTGGCAGGATAAAATTAAGCATCTCCTATGCAGTTTGCAGCTGCCCTTCAAAAGTTTGGGAGGCTTTGAACAAAGTAAAAGGTCTGGTCTCCCCGGAAAGCTAGAAAGGATCCCTAGAGACCATCACTTTTTAAATATATAAATATATTAGAATATATATCTCATACTTCCACTTGGCTGCTGGGTAATAATTTTAAGTTTCTAGCCAAGAGGTGACTGCTGGATGTTTTCAACCTGTTTTCTAGCAACCACCCACATTTATACTGGGATCTTTAGCAGGGGAGTTGGACCAGATGGTCTCTAGAGGTCCCTTCCAACTCTGACAATTCCATGTTTCCGTGATCCTGCAAGGGTTCAATCAGCATTGCATGAAGAGGCCGAGAGCAGCCCCAGCTTCTTGGGCCAAACCATGAAGATTTGGGTTGTGGGGAAGACTTGGGAGCTCAACTTGCTGCCACTTATGATGCTTGTGTTTGAGATGAGTGAAAACTCTGTAGCAGCCCATGCTAGGGAAGGAGATGCAAGAAATGCTACCAGCAATATCAAGCTTCTAGCAAACGTGGCTTAGAGTGGACAGCTGGGGAACCAATTTAAAGAAAAAAGCAGAAAAGTGTTTTGGAAGAGGAGAGAGCTAGGGGAAGGAGCTGGGAAATGAAAACTGAAGGAAGATAAAAGAGAGATAAAAGGACCAGACAGGCTAGAAAGAACAGGGTAACCCTTTAACTACATCCCTTCTAGACAAGAATTGTCTATTTTTAAAGGATTTGTAGCTTTCTTGGAAATCCCAACTCTGTGCCATAGGACCACCATCGAGCTTACAAGACTATTGCAAAGCAGGCAGCTCACGCTACAGACCGCATTTGTCAGACGGAGCTGAAGGGACAGCAACATCTCTCTAAAAATCATATTTTTCCGCTTTAAAAGGTTTCACTGCTGTTGTCACAGTAACAATATTAGGTGGAAAACATTTTTCTTCATGCCCCCTGGGTGTTTGCATCGTGTGCTGGGGCTTCACTCACAACCAGCCCCAGACTCTCAGGCCAGTTCCCCCACACACCAAACCTAATGGGTGCCAATAACTAGCAAAGCCACATCCGAAATCTTTGGAACCTAAGAGCACAAATTCAGGTGGCTTCAGTACCTGATGCTATTTTTAGGTGATTTATGTCCTTTCTAATTGGTTCTGAGATGAGATTATTGTGTGGTGCTTTTTTTTTTTTTTAACATGGCATCAATAGGAAGCTTTGCTCATCTCTGAGCTTTAGCCCCCTAGAAATGTGATATATATATATACACGCTTTTTTTGTGGAGGTGTCTGAAGCACCATGTCACAGCACAGGGGGGTTTGAAGGGGCTGGCTACAATCAAGAGGAAAAATTGAAACAGGCTTATCTCTCACCACATCTGCAGGGTCAAAACGCAAGTAGTAAATGAGCTACATAAAACATGAGAATTTGTCTTAAATATTCTATTATATATATATACACGCTTTTTTTGTGGAGGTGTCTGAAGCACCATGTCACAGCACAGGGGGGTTTGAAGGGGCTGGCTACAATCAAGAGGAAAAATTGAAACAGGCTTATCTCCCACCACATCTGCAGGGCGGAAACGCAAGCAGTAAATGAGCTACATAAAACATGAGAATTTGTCTTAAATATTCTATACAGCAAAAACAGCAGCCCTGAACAGGCTGCCAGCACCCGAGACATTTGACAGCCTATTACATGTCGCACACACCAAGAAAACTAACACCAGCCAGGAACCCCAGGAGCTCAGGTTCCCAGGCAGGCTGAGCACCTGCACAGGGAGAGCCCTCATCCTCAATCAGTCTTCAATACCAGCTAATTAACTAATTAGTTTGATGACTCCTCCCAGACTTACACAGAGGGAGTGGGATGAGCCCCTGCTCCAGCTGGGGGTGGCATTTGGAGCCTTTTTAGGCCAGGGACATCCCAGTGGGAGGAAGGTAGTGGCTCCTGAAGCAGCTGAGATCATGTCTGCTCCCACCTGCAGCTGCTGCATTAGCACCATCATGTGGATTTGATCAGGCCAGCTTGGCATCCCTTCACCTTTTCCTGTAGCCAGTCTGTGGGCTGAAGTTTTTGCACCTTTCTTCCCCACATTAGGCTGTTGCCAGCTTCAAGGGACCCAGCCATCCTCCCCACCACCCCCCCACCTCTCCGTACACACACAGTCACATTTAACAGCATCCAGACAAGCCTATTAATTTTTTGAGACTTAGGCGGGAGTATTTATCACGTTCCAGAGGCATTCAACACACAGCAAATTAAAAAAAAAGCATTTTACATGCCAACAAAGAAACAGAGCTGCAAAAAGCTTTTCTTTGTGAAAATCAAAGAACATATGTACAGAGTGCTGTGCACGTCCCCCATCTGACTGCAACCAAAAGATAACTCCAGCCTTCTACGTGAGCTCCTATTAAAAGCAACCCCCAAAAAACTGCAAGGTCTTCTCCTTCCTTCATTCCCACTTCAGCAAAACCTCTTAACTCCTGGCTGTGAATACTTAAGTCCTTGCTTCTTGCATCCTCCAACTCCTAAAGGAAAGACTATGGCTGCTCCTGCATCCCCTCATGGCAGGGTCTACCACGGCATCTCACCTGCCTTGACCCACCACGGGAAGGGATTGGGGTGCACAAGGGCCAACAGAGATGCAAGAGCTAAACCCAGCTGTGTTGAGGAGGTCAGACAGCTTTCAGTATTCAGGTCCTCTCGTTTTTCTCTGCAACACCCCTTATGTTTTCCCAGCCATAAAATTGATGTTTATCTCGCTGCTAACTGCCTTACAGAGATCATTACACATTGCAAATCCAACCATTTGCAGATAAAACGAGCGCGAGCAGCCTGGAAACTGTCACACCACCCCTGTCGCCTCACCACATTGCAATGCGTTACAACCTTTAAGCTGAAAATTAACATATAAAACCAAGAGGTCTGGAAATATTTGCCAGGCAAAGGCTCAAATCCAAGCAGAGGTAATTCTTGCACCCGCCTCACACCACCCCCTACTCAACCAGAGGAAATTAATTTTTTAAGTGAGACAAATTCTGAAGCTATTCTTACGGCATTAAGGAAAAAAACCCAAAAACT